TTTTATTAATTGTATAATTAAATTTACTTAATATTAAAATTAATATAAATTTTCACATTTTTTTATATACATTTATAATAATTAAAACACAAAATAAAAAACTCGTCTAATAATTATCCTATCTGTTCTCAAACTTGTTGGAATAGGCCCAACATCCAATTTAGGCCATACATAATGGGTCTAAGTTGACACTCGTTAGCCCAAAGTGAGGGAGCACCAGTACAAACATACCCATGTGAACAGCGCCACGTGGACCAATGAGATGCTTACATGTACAGATGCATGTCAGCTCTTGGGGCTATAAATACCCTCCAACTACCTTCGATGAAGGTAATTAATCTCTACGCTTCTCTCTTTGCAATTACTCCTTGAGAGCATCTCTCTTTGCAATTACTCCTTGAGAGCATTTCTCTCTAGAATATCGAGTATTGTTGACTTGAGCATCGGAGTGTTTTCCCCGAGGAAACATCCTCGGGATTTTCAGGTATAGAAGCAGCTAAGGACTTCAACAGTGTTGGACTACGAAGCTGCCCAAACATTTGGCGCCATCTGTGGGAACCCGAACAAGAAGCCGTGTAGTTTAACCGGTAGAAAGACAAAATGGTCTGTACCTTTACTGGAAGTCGCCCTCCGAGAAATGAAATGGACGAACAGGAGGTCACTCAACTGTCTGAGCCCGGTTTGAATAATTTTAGGCCAATGCCAAGAAACCTTTTCGTCGGAGGAGCAGAACAGGATCAACTAAGTGAAACAGATGATGATGACAGAACACCGACTGGGTGTACAACCCAGCCTGAACAATTCCAAATTCCAACAGGAACAAGGCAAAGACATCCCAAACCAGGCAATTCACAACAAGAACGACCTGAAAGGTCAACTGAGCCTGCTCGGACAACCGAGCTCGAAGAGAGAACCAGAGTTCTTGAAATGGCAATGGGTAAAATCCTTGCCCACCTGATCCCTGATGACCCCCTGATTCCTTTGTTGAACAGGGATGCACAGCCAGCTGCGGTTGTTGCAACTCGAAACTCCCCCGCTTTGAGCAACATAGTAGTGTCAACCAAGCCAAGGGGAAGTGGGAAGCTAAATAACGAGCCCAGCTCGTCCAAACATAGTGAAGAACTGATGAGAAAGAACACAGACCTTGAAAGACAGTTGCGGGATGTACAAAAATCCATTGACGAGCTGAAAAGTCCTAGGTCGCACCAACAGACCCTTGATTTGGATAGTGTTCCACTAAACCTATCCATCACAGCAGAACCGTATCAAGAGGGATTCAAAATTCCCCACCTGGAGATGTATGATGGCTCGGGCGACCCAGATGAGCATCTGCACACCTATCAAGCCATCATGAGAATCCAAAATGCCAATGATGCCATGATGTGCAAAGTGTTTCTAGCGACACTGAAGTCAACAGCCAGAAGATGGTATCACAAACTCCCCAGACATTCTATAGACTCATACTCCCAGCTTGCCAATCTATTCTCCAACAAATTTGCGAGCCAAAGGGAGATCAAACGCACAGCAACCGAGCTGATGCAAGTTCATCAAAAAGAAGGGGAATCTCTGAGGGACTACATGCAACGATTCAACAAGGCAACTTTAGACATTGATAACGTCCCTGATACCATCTGCTTGTCTGCCTTGCTGCATGGCTTGAAGCGTGGTCGGTTCCTGGACGACCTGCTAGAAAACCCACCAAAGACGTGGAACAAAGTAAATGACAGGTCGGCTAGCTTCATACTGTCAGAAGACTTCTAGTCGTCCAAGCGACGAGCTGATGATAAGCAGGGCAAAAGCCATGAACAACCACTGAGGAGAGAAGAAAAGAAAAAGCAGAAAGTCAACGAGCAATGGGGGAAGCTAGCTGACTTTCCGAAGTATGCCAACTACATTCAGTTAACCTTGCCAAGGACTCAAATCCTGGCACAAATCCAGCACTAGGTTAGAAGACCCCCACCCCCACTACATGATTCCCCAAGGGCAGACAAGAGCAAGCATTGTGACTACCATCGTACTTATGGTCACAACACAGAAGACTACCAACACTTGAAGGACGAGTTGGAGTTCTTAGCTTGGAACGGGAAATTAGAAGGATATGTGCAGAAGCCTTATACCCAGCAACCATCTCAAACTCACTTTGTGCAAGGATATGATCGACCTCAGGGGCAGAGGTATCAGCTCGGCGGCACACAAGATGTGTATCAGGACAATCAATATCCTTCTGAGCAGGGCAAAGCGTACAGGGGACGTCAATTCAATAGGCGAGGCCAAGGACAGAGAACCACCACCCAGAACTAAAAAGACAGGAAGGCGGTAGGCTATGCTGGGATACCCCCGACCTTAGGCACAATAAACATGATCTCGGGTGGTATACACTCTGGAGGCCAAAGCGCTCGAGGCCGTAAAGCATATGCCCGACAGGTGATGACCGTCAACAAGAACAGACCTTTGAAGCGGCCATTCGAGGAGGCAAAGTGGGAGAATATGCCTATTACATTCAGCCCGGTAGATTACAAGCGAGCAGAAGGAGAGCCCGACGTTATGATGCCCCATGCAGATCTTTTCGTGGCAACAGTTCATATAGGCAATCATAACGTCAACAAGGTGTTTATCGATACTGGTAGCTCGCCAGATATCTTATACTGGAGCTGTTTTCAAAAGATGCAACTGAATCCGAGTTCGCTGCAGAAGTATGAGGGGCCCATATATGGTTTTGACAACCAACCCGTCCCGGTTGAGGGAGTCATTACCCTTCCCATATGTGGGCTCAGAACCACGCTTTAGGATGGCTTATGTTAACTTTCTGGTTGTCAAGATGTAATCAGCTTTTAACGCTATATTAGGAAGAGCTACCCTGTGCGAGCTGAAGGCTGTTATTTCGCAACCCCATCTCTGTATGAAATTCCCAACTCCCCAGGGGGTAGGAGTGCTAAAGGGGAATCAGAAAATGGCCAGAGCTTGTTATCAAGATACATTTAAGAAGGTTGAGCTCGCTGTAACGCCGAGAGGCCCTTCTGGAGGTAATAGGCCGACTCAGCCCGGTCAACAGACAATGAGCATATCAGACATCGAACACCGGCCTGAGGGTGTCGAGCAGAAGGCTGAGCCAGTAGAACCAGTGGAGACTGTCCCTTTAAACCCTGATGTGCCAGAGAGAACAGTTAAGATCGGCACCAAGCTCACAGAAGAAGAACGAGCAGAGCTTCTGGAGTTTTTGAGGGTTAATCAAGACATGTTTGCGTGGACTACGGATGAAATGTTTGGCATTCCAGCGGAGTTGACAGTCCACAAGCTCAGCACAGACCCCACCAAAAGGCCGGTGGTTCAGAAGCGTCGCCTTTTTGGCCTTGAGAAGCAAGCTGCCATAAATGAAGAGATACAAAAGCTGCTACAGGCAAGTTTCATCAGGAGAGTGGAATACTCTGAGTGGGTGTCCAACCCTGTGCTAGTCAAAAAAACCAAACGGCAAGTGGAGGATGTGTATTGACTTCACCAACTAAAATGAGGCGTATCCGAAAGACCCTCATCCCTTGCCGAATGTGGAGAAGATGGTAGAGCGAGCAGTTGGGCATGAACGGATGAGCTTCCTTGACGCTAGCTCAGGGTATCACCAGGTTCAGTTACTGTTGGACGACCAGGAGAAAACAGCTTTTTATGCTGTTGACGCAATCTACTGCTATGTCATGATGCCGTTTGGCCTGAAAAATGCTGGCGCAACATATCAGAAGCTGGTGTAAATTATTTTTAAGCTCCAGATCGGCAGGAACATAGAAGTATATGTGGACGACATAATAGTCACTAGTGTGCGAGTTGAGGATCACATAGATGACCTGAGCATAGACAACCTGAGCGAAACATTTCAAAACCTGCGCAGAGCCCAAATGAAGCTGAATCCCCTAAAATGCACATTTGCTGTAAAATCAGGAAAATTCCTAGGGTACGTGGTATCCAAGAAAGGAATTGAGGTGAATCCAGAAAAGGTTCAGGCTGTTCAACAGATGGAGCCTCCAAAGACCGTAAAAGATGTGCAGCGCCTGACCAGTCATGTTGTTGCGCTGCATAGGTTTGTAGCCAGGTCGGCCGAAAGGTGTCTCCCGTTTTTTAAAGCCCTGAGAGAGCCCAAGAACTTTCAGTGGACGGATGAATGTCAGCAGGCATTGGACGAGCTCAAGCAATATCTAGCATCAGCACCCCTGCTATCCAAGCCTGTGGAGGGAGAGAGTTTATACCTGTATCTGGGAGTTACGGAGGAGGCGGTGAGCTCGGTCCTACTCAGGGAAGAGAATAAGAATCAGAAGCCTATCTGCTATGTGAGCAAGGTTTTACAAGGCACCGAGCAAAACTACCCACTAGCAAAAAAGGCTGATTTTGCCCTGGTTTACACAGCTCGTAAGTTGAGAGCTTACTTCTAATCTCATCAAATTGTTGTCTATACTGACCTGCCGTTGAGGAAGATATTGTAGAAGCCGGAACTCTCTGGTCGGCTTATTGGATGGAGCGTCAAGCTGAGTGAGTACGACCTCAAATTTCAGCCGTGCACAACCATAAAGGGTCAGGCTATGGCAGACTTCCTGGTGGAGTGTATCTCGGCGACTGTGGAAGAAAAGGCACCCGAGCACCCAGTCTGGGTCTTGTATGTTGATGGAGCTGCTAACGTTGATGGAGCTGCTAACATTGAAGGATCGGGTGCTAGGGCTGTGTTACTGGGCCCATATGGTTTTAAATCCGAGCATGCATTAAGATTTATATTTCAGACCACTAATAATGCTGTAGAATATGAAGCCCTCATTTATGGTTTGAAGCTAGCATCCGAGCTGAACGTGCAGAGCATTCAAGTTTCTAGTGACTCTCAGCTCGTTGTGGGCCAGGTGAATGGCAGCTGTGAAATCAAGGATCCTCAGCTTGGTCGTTATGCTTCTGTTGTTAGCAGATTAAGGTCAGGATTTGCCTCTTTCCAAATTGACAAAATACCAAGAGCAGATAACTACCGAGCTGACGAGCTGTCAAAATTGGCCTCCTCGCAGGACATTAACCCTCAGAGATCAACGATTGTCGAAGTATTTGACGCTCTGAGCTACCCCGATTTCACATTCAAGTGTCAGCTGCTTAGCACAGATCCCTCTTCACCGAGCTGGACTACCCCATTCATAGATTATCTGCACAGTGGCGAGCTGCCTGAAGATCCATCCGCTGCAAAGTTGATTAAATGCAGGGCAGCTCATTTCACTTTGTTAGATAATCAGCTCTACAAGTGAGCAGCTTCAATGCCCCTATTACGCTGCCTCACTCCTTATGAAGCTGAATAGGCTGTGAGGGAAGTTCATGAAGGAGTATATGGCACACACATAGGTGGTAGAACTTTAGCTCGGAAACTCCTAAGGCATGGGTATTACTAGCCAACTATGGTCGAGGACGCACAGAACTATCTTAAAAAGTGCCCAACCTGCCAGTTTAACGCTGATGATATTCACATGCCAAGTATCTGAGCTCCTTCTAAAGCTCGTGCAAACTTCATGTTTGTCTATAAATTGAGCATAAGTATCTTCGTTGGAACAGGGAAAATGCTCTCATCACTCTCATCTCCCTGGCTTTCTGCTCAATGGGGAGTCGACCTGCTCGGCCCTTTCGTGAAAGGCAAAAGAAGTTGCACTTACCTCGTTGTTGCGGTGGATTACTTCACCAAATGGATAGAAGCTAAACCATTGTCCATGACAACAGAAAAGAAAATAGAAGAATTCTTGTTCAATTCAATATTGTGTAGGTATTCTTTGGTGACTGATGAAAGCATGAAAATGTATATTTAAAGTGTACTTAACCATTGACATTTGTGGAATTATGGGTTTAAGAGTTTTATTTTTCTATAGATAATTTCATAAGTGTTCATTTATTCATGTTGTGCAAATTTTATGGTGATTGAAGGTTGATGTTAAATGGAGAGAATTAGAAGAAAAAGAACTTAAATGCAAAGAGCTGAAAAGATGAGGATCTAAGGATAAATCAGAAGTTTAAAGGCTCAAGAGTCAGGGACCAAGACTGTTATTCTGCCATTAA